TCCTATCTGTGTGTTAAAGTGTGGTTGAGCCGCAGATCTGTGCGGCATTCAGTAACGCTGTAGCCTCATAGTCATATCACCATGATTGTCGAGTTGGGGCCGTCGTTCCCCTGAGCGAAACAAAGCCGGCGAAGGCAGTCGACATCTCATCAGGCTGTAACATAACTACAGGCTGCTGCTTCTGTTCGGAGACCACCTCTTGCGAGTCTGGCGTAGAAACATCTTGCGATTGCTCCACCGAGAGGTTGTAATTAGAGGTGGCACGATCGCGTTTTCTCTTATACTTTTCTTGTCGTTCTAGTTCTCCTATGTTAAGCATCACGAGCTGGGTTACGGTGACATGCGGCCATGGGATAAAAATCCTGATGTCGAAGAGGCTCGCTGTCCCATGACCCGGGGTTCTCGAGCACTAACGTCAACCGCAGACTTAGTTAGATGTGTTTGAAGTCTATGTTGGAAGATCTCACCATCAATGGAAGGAGTTTACCATGACATTCCGGTAGATTTCTTTCAACATATTTGCTGGGGTCCTTACTTCATTAAAACATTATAAGCCATATAGGCCCCCTTTCTTGTACACCATGGCGTGATCGCCGTCATAGGAAAAACCCACACCTGCGTGGAGGCAAACAACTTCCCACTGGCCGACCGTGCAGAACTTTAATGGCATGTATAAAATTCTTGTTTATTAAGACTGAGCCATTTTGCCCTTATCGGTAGCATCAGTTAACCAGTTCAGGCGCCCTCCTGCGCTATAGCTACTTTTTTAGAATTTTTCTGCGGTACCTGCAGCAACAGTTGCTGCAACTTATCGACTGGCAAATGTCGATCTGTCGTGACGGACCTACAGATCTTGTTTACTTCACTGGTATCCACCTCTCCCTGTTGCGTTCTGGGCTGTGTATGTGGTCATTGAGGGCTGCCGTGAAGCAAAGTGAATTTTGATGTTCGGTGTGCAATCTCCTCCTGAGATGGTTAGTCCCATCCCCTCCAGCTTGATGGGTACAAAGTGCTCTCTTTCTGCTGGGGTTAAGTAAGTGTTTCACTAATTTGGGAATGAACTTGACACTGATAGCTTCTTCCAGAATTGGAGGTCGGTATATCAGAGATAGATGCATCAGGTAGTTTAACGATGCTGGAGTCCATGGGTGAATGCAGCAAAAAGCCGCATGTGGCTCTGTGTTGCTTAATCTCAGGCAAGCAGATTTCGCTAACACTCATTCACCTTTCCCGCATTTTCGGTCTTGAAGTCCGTGAGTGCCAATTACTATTGCCTAGATAATGTTGGCCGTCCTTAGTTATTTTGACCTCACTTCCGCCAAAAACCTCCATTGCCGTTCATAGTGTTCTGGCTACGATGAGGAAGGACTTTGCTGGCGTTTGGGTGGTACCCTATTTATGAACCTCGCGATGTTGCAAGTCCCACCACTTTGATGCCCTCCACTTTTCCTGCTCCTGTAGGTCATCAGCATATGCCACTTGTTTGACTAGTTGTTTCAAATTTTTATTTCTTGTTGTAGACATGATGAGCCAAGTATACATTCCTACATTGCAACAGTCCCCCTGTGTTGTTCCCTCAGGTTGACTGTAAGATGGTTTCACCTCTTAAAGCCTTGTTGTTTTTATGGGTCTGATAGTTCCTGGAGCTTTCAACTGCAAAAGCTTGGACACTTGATCTTGATGTTGTGCAGTGCGGCCTTGCGTTAAAGTATGTTGAATGCGTTTGAAGCGTCAACCAGGAGGCTAGCTCTAATCTCGTTGCTCAAATATCGTTCTCTATGGCGTAAGCCAGCTTCCCTCCAGCCTGGTGACCAGCACACTTACCCGTTCTGCTGTCTATTTCACCTCCATTATGCATTTTTCCGATGATCGCCTCAGCACTTCCCCCACTCTATTGGCTACATCCTGGATTCTTATCAGAATGAGGCAACAGGCCGTCAGAGCATGAAGGTGATAGCAGCATGAGGATGCCAGCTTTCTTCTGGGCGGCAATGACCGTCTGAATCACTTGCTACAGGGCCAAACTTGTTATGCTGAGGAATGACTACCAACCGTTTGCATCCAGACTGAAAGGGCTGGTACCTCCTCAGTCTTCGGTGCCTTTTTCCCACCATCCCTCCTGTTATTTTCTCAGGCAGGAACAGCATTTGGTGGGACAGTCTCTCATACTCTTTTTGCGAGGATGTTTTTCTTTCAATTGTTTTTAATGTCTCTCTGTTTTGTGTATAGGACCCCACAGGTGGATTCTCTGTGAATCTTACCGCCAAGAACACTTTTTCCCCACATTTTGTTTCCAAACTTCCTTGCAGCATCATCGGTGTTTTGCTTTCCGTCTCCTGAATTTTAGTCTCTCCTGCAGTGTTCTTACTTCCCCACAGAATCATCAAAGGCCCCCCCCTTTCTGCCACAGTGTCCAATCTTCTCTTCATTGCTGCACATTTTCTTTTGTGTAGTCCTTTGTGTGTGTCTCTGACAGAACAGATGTGGTAATGTGCCAGTATATGAGCCCCAACGACAGGCTACATACTATTACTACTACTACTACTACTAATAATAATAATAATAATATAATAATAATAATAATAATTATAATAATAATAATAATAATATTAATAATAATAATAATAATAATAATAATAATAACAATAACAATAACAACTATAACATTATAACATCATTAACAACAACAATAACAACACTATCAACAACAACAATAACAGCAACAACTATCAACAATAACAACAACAACACTATCAACAACAACAATAACAACAACAACTATCAACAATAACAACAACAATCCAACAATACCAACAACAACTATCAACAACAACAACATGATAAACCATCTCTCCCCGTCACCGTCGTCCGGGAAGACTGCGGGAGGGATGAGAGGCTGAGATTTATCGAGGGAGGAGAGCGTGCCTGGGAATTTCACCATCGTAACGAGAGGGGAGGGGTCAAGGGGAGGTGGTCAAGGGGAGGGTCAAGGGAGGGCGGTTGAGGGGGGGGGTTGGGGAGGGTCAAGGGAAGCTAATCGAGGGGGAGATGCTAGTCGAGGGGAAGGTGCGGTCAAGTCGAGGGGAGGGAGGTGCTGGTCTAGTCGAGGGGAAGTGCTGGCTGGTCAGTGGGGAGATGCTAGTCGAGTGGGGAGGTGTTGGTCTAGTCGAGTGGGGAAGTGCTGGCTGGTCGAGGGGAAATGCTAGTCGAGGAGGGTCAAGTCGAGGGGGAAGTGCTGGCTGGTCGAGTGGGGAGATGCTAGTCAGTGGGAGGTGCTGGTCTAGTCGAGTGGGAGGTGCTGGTCGAGTCAACGGGGGAGGTGGTCAAAATATAAACAATTCAAATGGTTCCTTAACTGTAAACATGACAAGAAGTACTAACCCCTACCCCACCCACCCCACTCCACCCCATCACCCCACTCCACCCCCTACCCCACCCACCCCCACTCCCCACTCCACCCCCTACCCCCACTCCACCCCCCCACCCCACTCACCCCCCTCCCCACTCACCCCCACCCCACCACCCCACCCCACTCCACCCCCACCCCACTCCACCCCCACCACTCACCCCACCACCTCTACCCCACTCACCCCACTCACCCCCTCCCACCCCCCACTCACCCCCACTCACCCCACTCACCCCTTTAACAACCGGTAGAGTCTCAACACAGTTATGACGCCATCTTTTAACCCACCATCTTGGTAAACTGTAACTTGTGGAAAGATATTTAAACTGTCTGTCTGTCTGACTGTCACCATGAAGAGGGAGGGAGGAGAAGGAGGTGGAGGAAGGAGAGTAGGGAAAGGAGGAGGAGGAGGAGGAAGAAGAAGAGGAGAAAGAGGAAGGGAGAGGAGAAGGAAGGAGAAGAGGAGTAAAGAGGAAATAGAAGGAACGAGAAGATGAGAAAACTGGAGAGGAGGAGAAAGAAGGGAGGAGGGCGTGAAGGAGAGAGAGAGAGGAGAGAGAGGAGAGAGAGAGGAGGAGAGGAGAGAGAGAGAGAGAGGAGAGAGATGCCGATGGTGGAGATAATGGGTCGTGTCAATAAGCATTCCTCTTACCCTTTCTCCCTCACTCACACACCCTCTCCTCACTCTCCCACACCCCACAACCTCTCCCTCACTCTCCCTCACTCCTGCCAACCTCCCTCACTTCCCTCACTCACACTCTCCCTCTCTCTCCCCACACCTCCCTCACTCCCACACCCTCCCACACTCTCCTCACTCCCACAACCTCTCCCTCACTCCCTCATCACACCCTCTCCCCACTTCCCTACTCCCCACACCCCACACCCTCTCCCACACTCACACACCCTTCTCCCCACTCCCTCACCTCACACCCTTTCCCCACCCCCTCACCCACACCCCTCTCCTCACTTCCCCACCCCACACTCCCACACCCTCCTCTCACTTCCCACACTCCTCCTCACCCTCCCCACCCACACCTCTCCTCACCCTCACTCCCTACCACACCCCTCTCCCTCACCCCACACCCACACACCCCTCCCCACACTCTCCCTCCCACACCCTCTCACTCACACTCCCACTCCTCCTCACCACACCCCCTCTCCCTCACTCCTCCCCACCCCACACCCTCCCACTCACACCCACCTCCCACTACACCCTCTCCCACACCCTCCCACACCTCCCACACCCACACCCCTCTCCCCACACCTCCCTCACCACACCCCTCCCTCACTCTCCCTCACCACACCCCCTCTCCCACCTCTCCTCACACCCTCTCCACACCTCCCTCACCACACCTCTCCTCACTCTCCTCACTCACACCTTCCCTCACTCTCCCTCACCACACCCTCTTTCCTCACTCTCTCCCTCACTCACACCCTCCCCTCACTCCCCCACACCCCTCCCCACCACACCCTCTCCCCACCTCCCACACCCCACCCCCCCTCTCCCCACACCCTACACCCTCCACACCCTCCCCACCTACACCCCTCTCCTCCCCCTCCCCCTCCCTCACTCTCCCTCACTCACACCCTCTCCCTCACTCTCCCTCAGGTCTGCAGGGAAGAGAGGTCAAGTTCAACGCTGATGGTGACGCCCCTGGCAGCTACTTCATATACCAATACCACTGTTAGCGACACCTCCTTTGATTACGTTCTTATAGGGAGCTGGACAGAGAGGTGAGCCATCTTCCTCATTAATTGTTTTCCCTATTCAGTGTTTCTCATTAATAATCCACTCACCTCATGATCTTCCTCACTATTTGTCTTTCACAGTGTTTCTATTATATTTCCCTCACCTCATGATCTTCCTCATTATTTGTCTTTCTCATTAATTGTCTTCCATTCAGTGTTTCTCATATAATCCACTCACCCTCATGATCTTCCCTTTTTCATTATGCTTATCTTCTACTCATGATCTTCCTCATTATTTGTCTTCCCTCATTGATTGTCTTCCCTCATTCAGTGTTTCTTATTAAATATCTTCCTCACCCTCATGATCTTCCTCATTTTTGTCTTCCTCATTAATTGTCTTCCCTATTCAGTGTTTCTATTAAATATCTTCCTCACCCTCATGATCTTCCTATTATTTGTCTTCCTCATTGATTGTCTTCTTCCCATTCAGTGTTTCTCTATTAAATATCTTCCTCACCCTCATGATCTTCCCCAGTATTTGTCTTCCTCATTAATTGTCTTCTCCTTATTCAGTGTTTTTATTAAATATCTTCCCTCACCCTCATGATCTTCCCCTGTCATTTGTCTTCTCTCATTTGTCTTCTTTCCGTCTTCCAATTGTCTCTTCCTCATTCAGTGTTTCTTATTAATTATCTTCCTCACCCTCATGATCTTCCTCAGTATTTGTCTTCCTCATTAATTGTATCTCGTTAAATATCTTCCTTATTGACTTCTTCATTTATTATCTTCCTCACCCTCATAACCTTTCTCATCCATCATCTTTCTCATTTTTGTGTTCCTCATTCATATTCCTCAGTTAGGCTTTTTTCCATTCCTTTGCCTCCATTTTTCTCACTCAAAAGGTTTCCTCACTGTTTATGTCTCACTCAGAAAGTTTCCTCACTGTTTATGTCTCACTCAAAAGGTTTCCTCACTGTTTATGTCTCACTAGAAGTTTCTCACTGTTTATGTCTCACTCAAAGGTTTCTCACTGTTTATGTCTCTCTCAGAAAGTTTCTCACTGTTTATGTCTCACCAAAAGGTTTCTCACTGTTTATGTCTCACTGAAAGGTTCCTCACCATGTCAACATAATTCTTCCTCACTCACATTTATCTCTTTGTACTCACTGAGAGATCTCCGCTATATCTCGTTCTCTATTAATGTTCTCAGTCAAAAATATTTCTCATCTGTTCCACATTTATAAAGTTTCAGATAGTGAATTTTTTCACCCAAGATGAGTGTTTCTCAGTTCTCATTTGTTATCTCTCACTGTTTCTCATTATCATTGTTGACATATATTTAATGAGAAGTCTTCCTCATTTTGTCTTCTTTAGTCTATCTCACTATTTATCTCAACTCCCAGGAGAAATCTTCCTCATTTTCCTTCATTTCTGTCCATACCCCTGGCCACTCCTTCTCACTTCTGCTGACACGCATCCTCACTGAGACACCTCCCACCCCTTCCTCCTCCTCCTCCCTCTGTTGACTCGCCCCTCACTGAGACACCTCCTCCTCCTCTATTGACATCCAGTTCTCAAGGTTGCTTATCTATCACACATTACCTTTCTATCTTCGTCTGTGTGTCTCATCTACTTCTCTCTCATCCGTCTATTTATTTCTCTCTTATATCTCCCACTTGTGTGTGTGTGTGTGTGTGTGTGTGTGTGTGTGTGTGTGCGTGTGTGTACCCAGGATTCAGACTGCACAGCCTCTGAGACTGACCAATGTCTCTGGCGAGCTTGATGCTTGGAAGTCTTATTGATACCCCCACCCACGACACTGCCACCTGCCACCCATACCCCTGCCACTGTGCCACCCACCACCCTGCCACTCTGCCACCCTACCACTCTGCCACCAATCACCCTGCCACCCATCACCTGCCACCCATCACCCTGCCACCCACCGCCCCTGCCACACTATGCCATCCTGCCACCTACCACCCACTCTGCCATTCACCACCCTGCCATTCACCACCCCTGCCATTCACCACCTGCCACCCACCACCCCTGCTGCTCACCACCCTGCCACCCACCACCCTGCTACTCTACCACCCACCACTCTGCCATTCACCACCCTGCCACCCACCGCCCTGCCACCCACCACACCCACCATCTGCCACCACCTCTGCCACCCACCACCACCCTGCTGCTCACCACCCCACCCACCACCCTGCTACTTCTGCCACCCACCACCCTGCTACTCACCCACCACCTGCCACTAACCACGCTGTTACCCATCACCTCACCCATCACCCTGCCACCCATCACCCTGCCACAACTGGCCACCCACCACCCTGCTGCCCACAACCAGGCCACCTGTCATAGTAATAATAACAACACCAACTTTTAAACACCTGTAACACCTGTCATATAGTAATAATAACAGCACCAACCTTAAACACCTGTAACATTGTCATATAGTAATAATAACAGCACCAACCTTAACACCTGTAACACTTGTCATATAGTAATAATAACAACACCAACCTTAAACACCTGTAACACCTGTCTATAGTAAAACAGCACCAACCTTAAACACCTGTAACACCTGTCATATAGTAATAATAACAACACCAACCTTAAACACCTGTAACACCTGTCATATAATAATAATAACAACACCAACCTTAAACACCTGTAACACCTGTAACATCTGTCATATAGTAATAATAACAACACCAACCTTAAACACCTGTAACACCAGTAACACCTGTCATATAGTAATAATAACAGCACCAACCTTAAACACCTGTAACACCTGTCATATAGTAATAATAACAACACCAACCTTAAACACCTGTAACACCTGTCATATAGTAATAATAACAGCACCAACCTTAAACACCTGTAACACCTGTAACATCTGTCATATAGTAATAATAACAACACCAACCTTAAACACCTGTAACACCTGTCATATAGTAATAATAACAACACCAACCTTAAACACCTGTAACACCTGTCATATAGTAATAATAACAGCACCAACCTTAAACACCTGTAACACCTGTCATATAGTAATAATAACAACACCAACCTTAAACACCTGTAACACCTGTCATATAGTAATAATAACAGCACCAACCTTAAACACCTGTAACACCTGTAACACCTGTCATATAGTAATAGTATCACCACCAACCTTAAACACCTGTAACACCTGTCATATAGTATTAATAACACCACCAATCTTAAACACCTGTAACACCTGTCATATAATAATAATAACACCGCCAACCTTAAACACCTGTAACACCTGTCATATAGTAATAATAACCCCACCAACCTTAAACACCTGTAACACCTGTCATATAATAATAATAACACCACCAACCTTAAACACCTGTAACACCTGTCATATAGTAATAATAACACCACCAACCTTAAACACCTGTAACACCTGTCATATAGTAATAATAACACCACCAACCTTAAACACCTGTCCTACGAAAATATTACCTGTTCTAAAATATTCAATACGTTAGAGTTTCACATCTAAACTATATTTTCACTCACATTAGCCAACAGATGGCCTCAAGTTTATTTGGGAATTGTGAAAGGATTTAGTGCGTCTATTTTACTGTGATATATAGCATGGTTGTGTGTGCTTCAGATAGCCTTCAGAATTATTGTAATATATCTTCTATACAATAAACTTTCTCTGATTAATTCAATTTTTTTTTTGGTCAATATTTTATGATTTTTTTTTATTTTTTTTTATATTGTTTTGATTATTTTTTTTTTTCATTTTTAAACAAACTTTTTTTTTCTCGCTTTCTCTGTTTTTTATCGATATACTTTCTTTTATTTTCTCCAACATAAACTTTAACTAGACTTATTAACACATAGGTATTAATAAGACCTTTAATTTGTTTCTCACCTTTCACCTGTGTCTGTCTGTCTGTCTGTCTGTCTGTCTGTCTGTCTGTCTGTCTGTCTGTCTTAAGTTGTTGACATGTGTTTGTTTTTGTTACCTCCCTTTTCTTCTCTCCCTCTCTCTCTCCTCACCCTTCCCCTCTCTCTCTCTCTCTCCTCTCTCTCTCTCTCTCTCTCTCTCTCTCTCTCCACCTTCCCCTTTCTCTTTCTCTCTCTCTCCCTCTCCTTCCTCTCTCTCTCTCTCTCTCTCCCTCTCTCCCTTCCTCTCACCCCCTCCCGGTATTTAAGTGATGGCGATTTACATTGTGCGTATGTCCAGTCCTCTCTACCCCTTTAGTTATTTTTACCATCTCTCAGCGCCAAGTGTTGTTCACGTGTTCTATGTTTCACCATCCGTAAGTCACTGTTCTATTGCCGTTCTTCATCCTATATCATCGTGTTCTTATGTTCTGTCGTCTGTAAGTCACTGTTTTCTGTGTTCTTCATCCTGTGTTCTTGTGTTCTGTCGTCTGTCACTCACTGTTCTACTTCTGTTCTTTTTTCTACATCATTGCGTTCTTCTGTTCTGTGTTCTGTCGTCAGTAAATCACTGTTATCACTGTTCTACTGCTGTTCTTCATCCTACGCCATCATATTCTTATGTTCTGTGTTCCGTCGTCTCTAAGTCACTGTTCTACTGCTGTTCTTCATCCTACGCCATCATGTTCTTATGTTCTATGTTCCGTCGTCTCTAAGTCACTGTTCTACTGCTGTTCTTCATCCTACGCCATCATGTTCTTATGTTCTGTGTTCCGTCGTCTCTAAGTCACTGTTCTACTGCTGTTCTTCACCCTACGCCATCATGTTCTTTGTTCCGTCGTCTCTAAGTCACTGTTCTACTGCTGTTCTTCATCCTACGCCATCATGTTCTGTGTTCCGTCGTCTCTAAGTCACTGTTCTACTGCTGTTCTTCATCCTACGCCATCATGTTCCTGTGTTGAGTGTTCTCTAAGGATCTTCTCACCCTTGTGTTCATTGTTCTTTCCAGTGTGGTAGATAAGTGTTGTTGTTCACGCTTGTTCTCTGTTCTTCACTCTTGTTAAGCTGTGTATTATTTTTTTATGTTCTTCCAATCATTTATTTATGTTCCT